CACTGGACTGGCGCCTGGCAGGGTCGCCTCAGCCAGTAGAGTGGCGCCCGGCCAGGACGCCAGTCTGGTGGTCTGGGCGTCTGGGCTGGACGCTACTCTGGTGGTTCTGGCGTCTGGCTTGGACGTCCAGGCTACGGTTTGGGCGTCCATCCTAGGCGCCGGAGCCACTCCGACGGTAAACCGTGAATTTTAACGGTGACTTACCTCGTTTTCCGTCGACGACGACGTACCTCCGGCGTCCCCCGCATCTCCGGCCTGCCCTCCGGTCTCCCCCGGCGAGCCAGTACGGCTCCACATTTTTTAAACCGAGATTATTTCAATTTTAGAAAATGGGCATAATGGTCACACCAAGTCATATTTGTGGGCTTTATATGGTAATTTGCGGGCGATGTTTAGCGATTCACTTTGTTTTTGGTTTTGTGATGATTTTATGATGTTTGATTTTAAGTATGATGTATATAAATTTTCAGATTTGGTTTTGAATTAAAAAGCCCCAAATTACAAACCCTAGGTTTTTAAGTTTATGAATATTGATGGAAATTGTTTATGGGTGATTTAAATTATTGAAAAAGGTGTTTTAAAACATAATTACAGAAATTATAGATGATTCAATAAAGCTTGAGTTTTTGTATATAAGCTACAATTAAGTTTCTTAAAAGGATTTTTAATTACCCATTAATTGGGAATAAAAGTGAGGGTTTTAAATTAAATTTCAGCTTGTTTTAAAGGATTTATGAGTGATTTAAGGAGTGTATATATTGCTGGAAATTTGTATGGAATAGTTATTAATGCCTCTTTGTAATTTTGGATTGTAGGATATTTCCAAGTGAGTGATTTCTTGTAGTCGTGGCGATTTTGAGATCGTATTCAAGGTAAGTTCGCGTACTTGGCAATTATTTGAATATGTAGAGGCATGATAGGCTTTGAATAATTAATTCCAAGTAGTATCATGATAGGTGTTGGTTAGAATTTGTTGTATGGTTGATGTTGGAGATGAATTGTGATGTATGATTTATTTATGTTGGATTGGTGATTGGAATTTAATATGATGGCATGTTGGATATGAACCACACTTTTATTATTAGCATGATTGAAGGCATGTTTGATTAAACTAAAGGTTTAATTTGGTTTGGAATTTGAAAAGGAAATTTTATTATGGTTCATATAATTTTTATCGATGCTTTAAGCATGGGAATTGAGCTATTAAGTGTCTTAGTACACAGGAATGAATTATATTGTGGTGCCTATATGTGCCCTTAAGGTGTTTATAACACCGAGGGATAGGATTTGCGGCGCATTATGCGTTTGAGGTGTATTTGACACCGAGGTAGATTAAAAAGGATTCAACATTAAAATTATATGGTCACTAATTATTCAAGAATTAAATTGGTTATGATTGATTGTTTGAATGATTATAATGTTTGATTTTGTTATGGATTGGGAGTCATCACCAAGTTGAATAATATGTAAAACAACGTAAAATGAAAGAAATTACACACCAAAACTCTTGGAACGTATATACCTCAAGTATGAACATATGGAGGGAGTTATAAGGTTTTATATTTAACCATAACTTCTACTGGGAGTACAGGACGCTGTATTTTCCTTTTATTATTATTATTATTATTATTATTATTATTATTATTATTATTATTATTATAAAAAACAAAACGTACAGAGTCAATCAATTTACAAGAAATTGGTAGGTTGCCGAGATACAATCTGGGCCCCCACCCCTCTAGCTATAGCGAACCCGATCCTGCTGAAGATGTGAGCAGCTGCACGAGCACCAATATCCTGAGTCTTAGCGAACGTCTGAACCCGCTTCAGCAACGCAATAGCATCCTTCTCTAATTCCCCCAACGAAGAAAAGGAGAAAGGAAGAAAACCATAGCCAATAGCCCTGCAACGCGCCCCATACTTGTCCCGCTTCCGCTGAGCCGCCGCCGACACAACACGACCAGGAACGAAGTCAGACAACCCCGATTGTGTCAAAGGTGAAGACCCCGTCAAATCAACACATACATCAAGGCCTCTATCCCAGGAATAAAGCAGCACATCTGCAGGTCGTAGAGCCCCGCGTTATTATTATTATTATTATTATTATTATTATTATTATTATTATTATTATTATTATTATTATTATTATTATTATTATTATTATTATTATTATTATTATTATTATTATTATTATTATTATTATTATTATGCGCAGGACGTCCGTTACTTCATGTGACATTTGTCTACCCGGTTAGCTCCCGGTGTAGTTTACCTCAATTTATTTGGGGCAGGGATTTGGTTGGAAACTCGTTCAATGCGTAATCAAATTAAATGGATATTGTTATTTGTCTAGTTAAAGGTTGAATGTCTTGTATGCTTGTTTACAGGTGCAACAAGGTAAGTTGTGTGATGATAAGATGGAAGCATGTTAGTGTGTTTATTTACGCTTATGTACTCAGCATTGCTGATTGTGTGTTGTATGTTTGTTTGGCCTTGTCTTTACCTTGGCCATACGACGACCCATTTCTAATGGCGAGTAGTGGGGACAAGTAGAGAGAAGCTTTTTAGGTGATAAAGCATTTTCATGATGGGCATAAGAAGAGCGAATCATGCTTAGTTTCCATAGGAATATGATATGTTTTAATTGCTTTGAATATGATTTATTTTGTTATGCTCGTGAGACTAACGTAAAGGTTTTCAGTATTGTTTGGTTTTAAGGGCCTACAATGGTTCCAAGTTGTAGGTTGACTTTGTTTAACTTTGGTTCGACTTTACTTTCATTTGGTTTTGATTTTGAAGTTGACTTGTTTTGAATAGTTTTAAAGAAAGTCTTCCGCTGTGTGTCTTTGATATTTGCCTTTGCCGTTTTCACGGTGGCTGTAATGTCTTAGATTTTCCTATTTTGTATTTTAAAAAGGGAAAAACAAGTATTTTAAAGGAAAGGAATTTATAGGGTGTTACAGTAATGCTCAATAAAACACTATAATACAACAATAGGTAAGGATTAAAGGATAATCATGAATACTATACCTAAAAAAAGGTTGATGAAATGATGGGAGAGATACCAATGATTTAGGGGGAGGTATAAATGATGAAATAATAATGATTTTAGGGAAGCCATGAATGGTGTAGCTTTATACAATTTTATTTTGAAGAATTTTATGCAATTTATTTATTTATTTTTATTTATTTATTTTTTTTTGTATAGGAGTAGCGTACTATTTTTCCTTATATTATTTAGTATTTTCTTTTTTTCTTTTTTTTTTTTATAATTTTTTTTATGAATCAAATAGAAATTTGATTGTTCATTAAATTAAACTTGTCATTAATTACTAAAATATTATTGTCTTTTATGTTATTATTATTATTATTAAAATAACAAAAAACCTACAAAGTCAATCAATTTACTAAATATTATTATTATTACTAAAATATTATTGTCTTTTGTGTTGTTATTATTATTATAATAATAATAATAATAATAATAATAATAATATATATTATTATTATTATTATTATTATTATTATTATTATTACTCCTTCCACAAATACTAATTACGTAGTATATTTCCATTCAAAGAAAAAAAAATACTAATTTATATTTTGTAGATAAATTGTAATTATCATTGATTAAATACAGAGTACAAATGTATTATAATGATTTATAAAACTATTACAGTGAAAGTTTTTCAATATTGCACACTTCGTATTTTACACAAACTGTAATGATGTATGTGGTCATCCGTATAAATTGGTACTCAACAGTTTAACGCTCATAAATTGAAGTACTTATCACAACAAGAGCATGTTTTGGTTAAAAAATAATAATATATATTTATATGATTTTCTCACTTATAAATGCAAGGTTCATGAAGAGGTTAAAATTATTTACAATCGTAATTTGTAAGTAAGGACCACATTTCTAATAAGTTTAGAATATACAAAGTGTAAAATTAGTTTGAATAAGTTCAAACAAAATACACTTTGGACAAATTGAGTTTTGTTACATAGAATTTTACAAGCAAGTATAAGTTATAACAAAATTAAGTCGGGTATTGCCTTTGTCCCACTAAAATTGCTTTATTTTTTTTAGTTATTCCATAGACTTACTCCATACCTTTTCTGGTAGAGAGAGATAAACATAAACACTTAGTCATGCTTGGATCGGGGGTAATATATTAAGGAGGTAATAAAAGTCATATTTGAAAAGAAAAAAATAATGTAATTAGAGGTGTTGTTGTAGGAGGCATGATGTTTACAAATGAAATAAGGTAGTTGTGCCATGAGGAAAAGATAGAGATGCAACCCTCATAATGAGGGCCGGGTAATAGTTACCCACCCTCTTCCTAGTGTAACTATTACCCCCAAAACGAGAGTAATAATTCTTCTTTCTTCCCCTCATACCACTCCATCACTACATAATTTTCTTTACAATCACACCATCACTATCTCTTCCTTCCCTATATTCACTTTCATTTTACTTAGTTTGATTTTTATTACCCTATTAATACATCTCCTTCAATCCAAGCATGCCATATAAAAAGACAAAGTTAAAACCCCGCGTGCCAAATTTAACCAAGTTTCAAAAAGTTTTTTCACCCATAGGACAATCTTAAGCCTTGTTCAATCTTATCTATTTTCACTTATTTCAAGCTAAACAAAATTCAGATAAAGGTTAATAACTTCAAATAAGTTTAAATTCATAAATAATAAGTTTTGACAAATTTTAATACTACATCCATTTTAAATTATTTGCAACGATTAGACATTTTCTACTCATATTTTATGTCAAATCGTTGCAAATAATTTGAAACTGAGGTAGTAATCAAGTTATATAAAAAGAATCAGATATCTAAAACGCACACTTATTAGACGGAGAAACTATAATCCTATAGCGTATTAGCGTTGGATAAGTAAAATAATCAAGCAAAGAGATAAAAAGCCATTGGTTGTTTTTCTAGTTTATTGTTAAAACAAACTAATTAGAGCAATTAGAAAGCAATAATTTACGGATGAAATAAAGTTTAAAGTAGAAAAAGATTCAAAAGAAAAGGAAAGTCCAACCACAAAATACTGAAAGCTCAGTATTTCTACTCTTCTTAGGAAAATTCCAGTATTAAAGCATTTGTTTTTTTTTTTCGTTAAGACTTAGAATTCCACTCACAAAAACTAAAAAACGTAAAAAAAATAAAAAAATAAATTTTCTCTCTCCTCCAGATCTACACCTTCTCTCTCCTCAATTACCCTTCTTTTTCGCTCTACCTATCCCCAAAAAAATCCACAACATTTTTCTGGAATTTGTGTGAATTCATCTTCATTCGTCGGTGTAATTTGGGGGAATTTCTTCTATTCTAGGGTTTGATTCTTCATCGTAACCACTTTGATTTTGATTCTGATTCTGATTAATTAATTAACTCATCGATTTCTGATTTTCACACTCTCATACAAAATCTCACTCCGATCCACCTCAATTCTGCTGATTGTTTTTTCTGCTACCGAAGAACAATTTCAATTTAATTGATTTGATTCCACGAACTCAAATTTTGTTTTCTATTTGAGTGATTAGAAATGAAAAATCAGATTGTTAATTTGATGATGATTCAGTGAAAATTGGAGAAGGAAAGGCGTTTTGGATCCGCTCTCAGGGTGGAGGAGAGAGAAAAGTGATGGACTTTGGTCGTAGGAGAGAGAATGGAAATGGTAACGGTTATGGCGGTGGAAGCTTTAGCAACGGAAACAGCTTTGGAAATGGCAACGGTAATGGAAATGGTAATGGTTTGATGTACGATCGTTTTGGTTTTGAGGAGAGAGAATGTGGTGATGGACCAATTATAGCTGATTCTTTCAAGGTTTCTTCATCATCAACAAATTCTTCGTCGCCATCTTCGTCTTCGTCTTCGCCTTCGCGTTACATCGAGCATCATGTTACAAAGTTGGATACTCTTGCTGGTGTTGCTATCAGATACGGTGTTGAGGTACCGAATATTCCTTCAATTAATATTTGGAATTTTTTGTTTTAATTATGAATTTGAGTATGTTATTTTGATTTTTTGAGCTTTGTAATTTGTGTGATGTATAAGGAAAGAAGGAAAAATAAATAAATTGCGGTTTTCGGATTGAAAGAATATATGGGCTAAAACTAGGTTATGGAAAGTGATGATGTTAGATGTTGTAAGGGTAGATTTGGTTTGATTGATTGGTGTTAAGAGATTATGCAGCTCTTCAAGTTTTTTTTTGGAGAAGTTGAAATGAATGTGTTGTTCTTAGTGATGTTAAGAGATTGTGTTGCTCAAAGAAATTAGGGAATTAATTTAATGGATGTGAGGTTAATAAATAATTACTACGGTTCTTCGAGACTCTGATACCGTTGTTTTATGGCAATAGACTAGGTTTTGCTATGTTTTGAAAAATATTTGAGATGTTTGCTGGAGAAATTTTGTGTTAGGTACTTATTTGTGTGATGGATTCACTGTACTGTATGCTGAATTAACTATGTGATGTGGTTTCAGTGGTTAGCTTTGGATTTTTCTATGGAGATGATGAGTTGTTTGGTTAATCTTTATATTCCGTGAGGTAACGCAGCTCTTCATTCATTTAGGTTGCAGACATCAAGAAGTTAAATGGCCTGGTGACGGATCTACAAATGTTTGCCCTCAAAACGCTTCATATCCCACTTCCTGGAAGACACCCTCCTTCTCCTTGCTTATCAAATGGTCACAGCACGACAGGGTATTTTACCTTGCTTTCTTCTCAAAATACTTTTCTTTTAAGCATAAGTATCTTACTAGCTTTCTACACCCTGGTCTTTGCATTTTCGAACAATTTCATCAAGGTTTCTTGTGCTTTTAGATAGTCTTATGTCATCTAGCACTCAACTAGTGTGATCTGCAGCAATGAAATAATGTATTTCCTGATTGTTTCATCTTTAAATTTGGGGAGTACACTTAGCATAGAAATTCAGCATATTGATACATTCACATTATGCCATAGGTTTAGGCGTGGGCAAAATTGTTTCATAGTTATATCATAAGCTTTTTGTTGCATATACAGCAACAACGATGACAATTGCAGAATCTAAACCAAGCCCTTAATCCATGAATTTGTGGCAAAAATATATACAAGTTCTGTTTAGCTCTTTCCCAAAGCTAAAACAGTTGCGGGGATGAGTTTATTAATTAGATTGAGGACTAAGTGGTTCTAATATAAGGAAGGAACTTTAGAAGGTCAAATTTTCAAAACACGTGCAACTACCCCAATGTGTATGGTTTGGAACTATTGGAAATTGGAAGGGAGAGGCTGAGAATGACCTTTTATACCCTTCATTGGTGTTTTTTGATAATTTCTTCCCTTACCACAACCTCATTTCTGCAGTCATATCCCCCACTTTCGCATCCCTTCTTAGTCACACTTACTCCTCACGGCCTCACCTAACACTTGTAATTACCACTTATTTTTACCTCTACCACTGTCACCCTTTATCCTCACTTTGCATCCTTTGCCAAAACAACTTGTTTGTCATATCTTGATGGTTTTGGTTGCTTAGACTGATGCTTCCGGGCAATGTGGACAGCTGAATCAGCTTCATAGATGAATACTTAGTGGTTCAAGCTAGAGAGGTTTACAATATTGACAATTGGACTAGTATCGGTTAGCTAATACTATCCCAAGAGGTTGGGCTGGAGGCTTTAGCTTTTGGGAACTCAAACTTATTCTTATAAGTGGTCAAGATGTACTAAACTATTACAATCCATACCTTGTTGTCAGGTATTTTATGCGTTACACCACTTGCACCTATCATGTTGCAAAGATTCTATTTCTTTTTTGTGCTTTGAATACACAACTGACAATGTGTTTACCCTGTTTTGTTAGCTCTATCTTTATTAACATATATGTCCCCAATAGCACAAAATTGAGCCAAGATTAGAAGACAAAAGCAAGTAGGTAAAGCAAGGGTATAAATGGAAATGTAAAGGTTATCAAAAAAGTACATTTCTCAACTAAAAAGAAACTTCTCAAAAGGGAATGCGTGTTAACTTAAAGGAAACAAAATTCGTATGGTTAGTGACAGTATTTACTGTAGTGTTGTTGTTCATAGCAAATTGCAGCTGCCAATATGTGCAATGGCTCATAGTGGTAATTTTACTTGTGATCTTAGTGACCTTTTCCAGTAAGGGCCTATCTCATAACATATAAAGTTACATAGCAAATTGGACATAGCATTTTACACTTGGCTCTTTGCATAGACCAGGTGCAATTCCTTTTTATTCTCTTACCTTTTTAGAATGTAAATTTTAATGCAGCTCTATTTACGCAATTAATTAATTACATTTTGTGTATGGGAAGTTTTATATTTATGATGCTGTTTTATCATTTTGGCAACTGGTGTTGCTTCACGTGAAGAATACTATAATTATGTGTTATTTGAGACAATATAGTTTGTTATTTGAGATGTTAATGTTTCATGTGAAGAATTACATGATGGAATAGATGCCTTGAAGTATATGGATTATGTATTCTGGTGAACGCTTTCCACACTTTTTTTTCTTTTTGTGATGCGGGTCTGGTGAGAGGAGTCTTGGGCATGGTGCTTTATGTGAATATTGGTGAAAAATCTTAAAGCAACAATATTGTACTTTGTACGAGATAGTAGATATGCTTCTCTATTTGACTGTGGACATGATTATTTAGCTCAGCAAGTACGTACGTTACATCTCTTGTCTCACTGTTTGACTAAAAGGAAAACTTAGGGACTTGGTAGTCAGGTCTTCTCCTAATCTTAGTACCTTCAATGCTCGTTCTATTGGAACAACATAGAGCCTTCAGTTTGAAATTAATGTATCTAACCTCCAATTCTCGTTCCATGGAGGAGATATATATGCGAAAATGTTACCAAGGCCTGTTGCTCTATTGGAACAACGTAGAGCCTTCAATTTGAAATAAATGTATATAACTGGCAGGACAACGACAACCTCTTTATAAGGCTTGCTTGAATTCTCCCTGACACCGAACTTTCACTTTTGTTAAGGTTGAGGTTATTTGTTCAGCCCATGCTAGTGCACTATCATATTTCTAATATCTCTTCTAGGATCTTCCTTTGGTGAACACCAGACTCAGAAGAAATCATATAACTTGTATTTCTAAAACTTATTATGTATGGTGACGGAAAACATGATGATGTAATCTAGAAAACTGTTAATTTTAGGTTTGCTATGGTATACCTGCTGCTTGATTACTAATATTGTATCTCTTTGTTGCATGAATATTCTTTGTTGCATTTTGTCATGGAGACCTAGCCATTCACAAATAACAGAGCTTTCATTCTTGAACCTTGTTACAGACCAAGCAGCTCTGAGCAGACTCCATCTCGTCGTGTGCGCCCTGATGTTCTCGAATCATTTCAAACTTTGAGAATAACTCCGGAATATAAGGTGTCGCCTGCCATGAGTTCTTTACGAGGCTACTATGGGCTTAATGAACAGAAAAACTCTTCGGATGGCTTTGAAATGGCACTTTACAGCAAAGGAAGTACCAGTTACGGTGAAGATGAAAGATCTTTTACATCACCATCACTGATGAACCCACCTCTTAGTCAACATAGGAGATCTAGAAGTGTGGCTAATGGCTTTAAGACAGAGGAGGATGATCTGTCTAATGATATGGACAATGCAGCTAAATGGATTGATAACCTAAACAAGAGGCGCCAGAAATCAGATGCTGATTTTGCTCGCACTCCTGGAAAATTATTGAAGGAAGAGAATGGGAGTGGTGGTTGGTTTTCTGCAATCACAGGGAAGGGATTAGCTTTGAGAACAAAAGCAGCAAGTAGAACCAGTTTGGCTTCTGAAGCCGAAGCAGGAGGATCAAATGGATTTCCCTTCAGTTTGGGAGATTCTAATGCAGCTGAAAGTTCATCTGGAGTCAGGAAATCCTCTAGCACACCAAGTTTCCAGGATCAAGACGGCAATAGTAGCTCTATATGGTCTGCTGCCAAGTGGTCCTTGACACCAGAACTACAAGCTGCCCTTACAAAACCAATTTTTGATGGTCTGCCTAAGCCAATTAGTGGCCGAAAATCTAAAGCAGCCCTTGACTAGATGCTGTCCTCACGTTGCAATTCCAGTTCCTGAGTTGATATAGACTGAACTGTGTTTTCAAGCTCTTTTGTATCTTGTTCTAGATGGAGAAAAAGTGCCTAAGGTTGCATTAAATTCATTTACAAGAACAGGAAGAGGTAGTAAGGCTAAGTAAATCGACGATGCCCTGTGGTGATGGTCGCACAAGATGCAAGCCGAGTACATGAATTTTGTTTACAGTGATATACCTTCAAGGATACAAATGATACATATGAAGCTTATTTTGCCCTCCTCATCTCAGGTATTTTTTAGTGAAAGTTTCTGCTACAATTTGGATCACAGAAATTTGTATATGTAAAGTCCTGGATCACCTTTTTATTGGAAATAATCAGGTCGATAGTAAAAAAAAAAAAAAAAAAAAAAAAAAAAAAAAATTATTTATTCCATTGTGTTATTTGTTTCCTTAGGCTAATGTTGAATCTTTAGATCAAGTAGCTGTAGTTTACGTGCTCCGTCTCAGAACAGTAATCCCTGTGGACTAGTTTGTCAAGAGGTGTAATTAGTGAGCCATACCGATGGACAATGTTTTGGTTTAGTTCAACTAGTCATGAATGATTTGTTAAAATATATTCTTATTTAAAATAAAATTCTTATTTTTCCCTGTATTTTTCAGTATTTTCGAGTTTATTTTTATTAAAGGTTACATAATTTGCAGCTTCATCACCTAGGCCCCATGTATTTAACACCCACATTTTCGCCGACAGTGATTTACCTATACCTCTCCCACACTCCAACTGAGTTTCTGATAGACTATTCGATGTTCTGGTTTCTCTTGATTACTTGAGGAATATCGTTGAGACTTGAGAGGACAGGAAAGAGATTCGATGAGAAGGATATACAATTGAGTTTTTTTTTTTTGGCTCTAAAACATCTTTTTATTTAGTTAACTAGTCATAAAAATTGACTTAAAAGACTTACATTGTCATTAAACTTTTGACTCTTGTAACATTTGTTTGTCAAAAAATATTTTACATCACTGGAGAAGGAGACCTCAATTGGAGGAGCTTCTTTCTCCGTTGTCCATGCCTCAAGTCGGAACTTGCTCGCTACTTAATGACTATTGCTTCATGTCTTTTGATTACACTGCCATGTATTTCATGTTGACATCGCTTCGAGCTTTTCAAAGTTCCTAATCTTCTTCCTTTGATTGCTTCCTAGCTATTGGTGACCCCTTAAGATAGGGGGCCTTTATGCTATGCGTACCTTTAATTTTCAAATATATTGGGTGCCTCCATTTGCAAGGAACAAATACAAAAAAATGGTTATATTTGATTTTGGTGGTCAAAACTTGGCAACATTAACAAAAAATTAGTTAGAAGTGTAACACCATTAAGTATGACATAAGAACAATACGAAGTATTTCTTTATTTATACTCTAATGAGTACATCTAACATGCCATGTCATTACTTTTTTATTTTAAAAAATAACAACAATTGTCATTATTTTTTTTTTTTTACGAAATGTTTTAACGTTATTTTGAGCATTTTGCGACTTTCAAAAAATTCATATTAACATAGCATAAAGGTTAAAAACACAAATTTGATAAACTCGCTTCAAAGAAGGATAATCACCGTCAATCAATTAGAGACAAATACCACGAGCTTTGAATTTTTTTATTTTTATTTTTATTTTTTTATTTTTTACAGTGAATATTATATTATACTACTGCGTATGAAGTTCTTGGTAAACTGATCCATCCAAAAAAAAAAAAAAAAAAAAATAGTATATTGTACTAGGAATTTATGTAAAATTCCACAAGCAAAAAACATATTTGGATTTCTCGTATATCAAATTAATTCTATAAGAATTTTGTTGATCAAGAACATAATACTCTGTATAAACATCACTTACTCGTATAAATTTTTAGAACTGATCCAATTACTCTCAATCCAAACATATCCTAAAAGCATAAAAATTAAGACAAACAAATTCTCATGATTTTCCTTTTTTCTTAATCCAGATTTGACTTTCAAAAAGAGTAACTTACGCAATTGTTGCAACTAATTAACATTCATTTCTGTAATTATTTTAATATTGCAGTGGTAATAAAGATATTAATACGGTAGTATATGAAACTGTTTTCACGAGAAATACAAAAAGTGTGAGATTTTATATTCACAAACCATATTTATTTAATCAATTATTAGAAACAAATTACTACTTGTATGATTTTAGATTTCAACACTTTGTGAAGGGCAAAACTCGACAGAAATAGAATATTATTTTTGTAAAAAAAACTGCAGTAATTCAACCAAAAAAATTAAATATTTATTAGAAAATATGCACATACTGAAATCATGCTTCTTCTGTAGTTCTGTACTATCTTACTTAAGAATATGCACATAAGTTAAAAACAAAACCATATAACAGCATGGAGAACCAACTTCCATTCAAAACAAAGCAAGGATTTAGGAAATTGGAAAAATTAGTTCACTTGGATGTTTAGGTAAGGTAAACGGAATTTCAGATATTTGATGGTTACTAGAAAGATTGCAGCAGCATAACAGCTTGACTTCAATCAAACTTATGCTAAATACCGATTCTATTGCCCATCACAACACACTCCATTGCCCTCCTCAAAAGACAATATAAAGGTAAGCAGAAAAATATGTTACCTCATCCGATCATCAGCAATTCAGTATCCTTTCACCAGTACTTTTCTTCTCCACTCCAATTTAAACATGTTCATAAACCTCATTATGCGTCCGTGAGCCTGGAAGAGGATATAATGCATGCCAACCTCCCCACAAAATAATCCATTGGAACCACCAATAAAAATAATACGCTCATCTTCCTAGAGTTTATCTGTCAGTAATTTGGAAAGCACGATTCTTGAACACTTAAATGTTAATTCTATATTTCTATCTACGCCATACATGAAAGACCAAGTCCATAATTATTTTTGAACGTATACAACATGCCTACACATCATGCTTTGCAGTATCATTCCCTGTTCCTAAACTTGACTCCAAGCAACAGAAAACTTTGTCAACTGGGAAGGGGAGAGGTCAGTCTAATCCCTCTCCAATTTTACATCCTCTTCCATTTTTGAATTAATTTACGACCTTATTATGAGCAAAAAATTATGTAGTACTCTGACAATGTATATATTTGATGGTCTGAGCTTTTGACTAGACTCCTATAGTAACATATCTAACATCGGATCCATTACCCATATATTCTATGAGTCAACTGTAATCAACATATTAAATAATCTTTATATATAGCCTCATCCATCAAAAGACCCTTTCCACTGTGGTAATAAAACGTTTTAAATACATCAAGAAACTAACAATCAATTCAATGGAAAGTTACTAGGGCTAACACTGACTAACTGATACTAAAGAAAACAGACAAATAAGTATTACTCACAATTACAGACACTAAGAACCAAAAGGTGAAATTTTGAAGGGGGAATAAAACCAAAATATGACAAAAGATAAGATAATCATTGAGATGCAGCCAACAGATTATCCTTAGATACCAATAATGGGTGGTTAAATGAAAAGTATTTACAAATTGAACCAAGGTATCTGTGCAGCATTGTTAGTCTCAATATATACAGCAAGACTTGGTGCTAATGTATAAGTACTACCTTTATAGCTACCCAAATGTAGAGCCCTTGCATAAGCGCTCATGTAAGTATCAATGATCTGTCATGACTGTCAAGCTTCAAAATAAGAGTTTACCTCCAAAGTAGCCACCATCAATCTCCCAGAATGTTTGGATCATGCTCCAGAGTGATGAAGAATCATAATTAAGAAACCAATGTACAGTATCAGCAAAACCTGCATAAAGAGAAAAATAAAAAAGTTTAATTAAGAGCATAATTATACTATCCCAAGCAGGAGAACACATTTAAATACTTCAGAAGTCGATTTCTACTTCACGCAGTCTTATCACAAAGTACAACCAGGAGCAACTACCCAGCATAAATTCTTATCTATGCCTGTAGTCACTAAGTATCAGAGTTGCAACAAAATTAATGTATTTCTTAAACCAATGCATCCACTGTACCATCTGACCAAAATTCATGACCCCCTACCCTTATTTATAATTCACTAACCCAATTGTACAAAACAGAAAGGCTAGGCAAAAGATCAATCAAAACATACAGTAATTTTGGTTATACCGTTATACACATATATATCCTCTCTGTTAGTAAATAGCTGAAATTCTTCTTTCATAGTCGACAAGGCACACCTTTGATTATTAATATCTAAACATTCTAATGTCACATGTTCAAAAAATATAAATTAGTTGTTATAAAGAAAACACAAATCAAGCTAAATCTAAAAGATTCAACAATGCATATTAGTAAAACAATGCAGTCAAAGTTTACAAGGCTTGACAATGAAAATAAATTCAAATTTAAGAATGTATAGATAGTAATCTTGTATTCTTATTAGTAACAGCAGCAACAAAACACAAAATTCAATCAGACTAGACATTCACGAATCTTATTCACAAGCAGTAAAAATAAAAACACTGCTATTTCTTCATATCTTCCATCTAAGGGAAGATAAAATTACTTTATAAGGAAATCCAAGTAATTAGGAAAAAAATGAGCCCAAGAAAGATATAAATCCTGATAAATCTAACTAGATTCAGAAAGTCCAAATTGAGTCAAAAACTAAAAAAAATTCCCTTTGATTTGTCCAAAAAGCAACTGAAAATAACTGTTATTCAAAGCTGATCAACTATCCTAACCTCGTTTCCTATTCAAACACAATAGTCGGGAAGCAAGCTGAATCACAAGCATGTATAATTGGTGCATACATCTCATACAAAAAAGGCATAGTCAATCAACCTTTATACGAAGTATTCAGAAAGACAAAAAAAAAAAAAAAAAAGTATTCAGAAAGACTTTGAATTTTCAGACCATTGTTCACACATGTTGAGTAATGTAAAGCAGGTGCAAACTCCACAAGATTTTAACTTATGGGAAAAAAAAACTTACTATACTTTCTAGTCCAATCTAAAAATTTCAATAGTCAGAAATGAATTGGAAAGGAAAAAAAGGGACACAAATTCTGCAATTGATTTATGCCTAAAATTTTACTATTCGTCAACAAGCACAAGACAATAGCATTTACAAGACAAGCAATCAACTACTCCAGCAAAGTCTAGCAACTATATATAGTACTAAGACCAGCAGAGCATGTGGCACAAGCTTACAGGTTCAAATGGTGGATACATCTAATGCATCAAGGACGGAAGTAACATACAACGTATCTAATGTGTTTTGAAACCAAGTCATCTTCTCAGCTAGGATGATGAGGGTGAAACCGCCTATAGACTAAGGAAAAAGAGTATATAATGCTATCAACAGCAGAAAAATACTTCATTTTTTTTAATTGCACCATTTGGGTTGGGCACGGGATTTAAGAAAAAGTGTAAAAGATGAAGTATGTCAAAAGTGCCCATGTAAAAAAACAAATGAGAGATAGAAAAGGTGGGGTAATAATGGTTGTTATCACATGTGAACAAGGATAGGTAGGGAATTTTGTGTGTGAACACAACCAAAAAGTGAAAAAAGCATACCATATAGAGAAATGGTGCAATTAATATGCAACTTCCCAAAAAGGAAAATGGTGCATTAAAAAAAAAAAAGAAAAGAAAAGTATGAAGTATATAAAAAGATTCACCTTGTAATTCACAAGAATCTTCTCAATTATATCAAAGTATCAAAGAAAATCATACATCCATGGTCTTGCTAGACAAATACAATAACTTCCTCCATGAATACCAATGAGAAATATCACATATAAAACAGAAGAGTAATATTCCTACATTTCTATGTAATATGGTCCAACACATATCATCACAAGGATCAGCTCCTCATAAGTTTAATATTAACAACCTCAAACAATGTCCTCTAAACACAGTTTAGTGGAACATAATCAAAAGGACAAGTAACATTCATGTACTTCATGCATTCCTGCCAGCACAAATAGTAGTCTAATTCCCAAATCCATGGTTATACATATCACGATATCAGTGTGTAAATTGAACACGCAGAATTAAACATGCTGTATAAAATATGCAAGATGGTTTTTGTTAGTAAACAGAGGTTGATAAAGATGTTTCCATCCCTAATAAATCATAGAGCATGAAGGTCATTTCCATTAACTCTTATAATACCAAATACAAAGAGGCACATAGGTCTTCGGAGTCATAACTTTTACGCAACCTCTCTCTTTCAACTTTGTATCAGCTTTGTTAATTGGAAATTGTCTGGCTTATCATGAATGAGAATATCAGTCTGATGACCTGTACTTTATTTCATTGGCATATACTTGCAAAGGAGGCTGAGTAGGTAGAAGCTAATGAAGGAAATGCTACTTTAGGTCACCACTAGCTATGTTTACCATAACCCATCAGCAGGAGCCTTTCATCAGCTGAGGTTATTGTGTGCATGAGAAAGAGAGCGAGAGAAAAAGGGAGAAACAGGGGGCAGTACAAGCCAATGTTTAACCTTCAACATCTATCTAATATTAACCAGTAACCAGGTTGACAATATTGGTTTCATGAGCCATTTGTGCGTCAGAAACATAGTTATATTGGGCAGTTTTTTTTTTTTTTTTTGGGGCCAAAAAGTAATTCAAGACTATTTACTGCGTTCAGGACAGATAAATACTTGGTTTGGTATCTTCATAACCAAAATGTTGATGAAGCAGAACAACATCCATCAAAATTTCAAACTCGAACCTTCAGATTCACAATAGAGGGTAGGCCAAAGCGAAGATTATGTATGATAGTTTTCCTAAGAATACCATAGCATTAACCACATGACGGAACTCCAAATAAATTGTAAATATGGCCAGGCTAGAAGAATTACTGAAACAGCCAACACCTTCAGAAACCAAAGTTTAACGGGGAAACCAAAAAATAGGATCTACCTATTCTGCAAGCTATCCTTATAATGCCATCAGCACTAGTAGCACAATTTGAAATACTTTACTCACAAAATCTATTTACGAAGCACCCAAGATTTATTCCAAGCACAGACAAAATCTCTCAAAAGCAGAGAAGGGTTAGATTTGGATTCCCATGAATCTAGGATCGGAAGAAATTAGGGTTTACTGGTGCAGAAGAAAATATCTGCTTCTTATCCTGATTAAGAAAAAGGCTACAGCAATCACCAATTTGTGCCTCTGTAGCATACAACTCTGCCAAAACTAAAATGAGTCTAATTTTAAAAGATATCAACACCCCAAATAAAGAACTCTTCAATCAGAATCCATGCACAAGATAGAGCTTCTGTGTTTATTTGGGGTTTTTTTTTTTTTTTTCAAAACACTAGGGACAAATTAATAATTGATATCCTAGTATGTATACCTTAATCTTATGTGCAATTATTCACTCAGCAGGCTAAACTCTTGCCGTTGCTAATAAAATATAAAAATAACCTTCAAAGCCAGAAAGAAACAAGAATAAAATAGTCTTCTTTGAAAAGTAGGTTGTTTCACAACATTAATATAAAGGTTTTAGTTACAAAAGGTACCAAACACAATTGACAGCTGAGCAGCAAGCATCGGCTTACATTGGGAGGCAAATGTCAGCAGGTGTTGATTTCTCAGGAAAAATAAACTCTATACTGTCTGTCAGGATATCAACATAGTCTTTGTGACACAATTACAGGCACTTGTATCTCCCTGTATGCCAAGTCAATGGGAAGACTTGTACGAAAAAAATATTGAAGACCAATCTTTTCAGCCCCGAAGCACTGAAATAAGCAAATCAGAGACAAATAAGTATTGACATGGAAATTAGACAAAGATGGAATAAATCAAATCTGATCACAGCAGCATTCATTCTTATGTCACAAATGTAAAGAAGAAACCTCTTAACGAAAGCAACTCACTAGGTTTCCGTTTCAATAACACTAACAGATTTTGCTAACCAATATTAATAAAATAAACGAAGCAGTAAAAACTAAGAACCTTTTTCATTCCCTAGAAGAGAAAGAAAGCCTTTCTCGGCCCCTGAAAGTAATACTTCATATTGGAAGGAAAAAAACAGATACAAAAAGAGCAGCACATCAAGTTTGCTGAGATCTCATATAGCAAGTGTATTAATTAATACACACTTTCCAAGTATATATTTGGCAACTCTAAGTCACTTCAGCAATCCAATTTACCTTGGAGCCCCTCAACCCATGTACTCTGGATTCTAGAGAACAATCCTTGAGAAAAAAATTAAAAATAAATTTTACAAAATCTTGAAGGATTCATGTCAAAAATTTGAAGCATTCCAACACATTCAAGAGTTGGAGCAACACAGAAAGTAGCCTCCATTTAGGCCATAAGAGGCTAAAATGCATAATATATAGCATATTTGCTGGTGATTTCCACGAGAAGGATAAGAGCATAGGAATTGTTCAACTACAAAAACATAAAGCAGCCTGGATGTCTAGTCATCGTTTTAAGTTATGAATCTCACTTGAATTCAACAGCTCAACTTCAATTAAACTTCTACACCGGCCTCCAACAATTAAGAGACGACAGATCTGGTCCGGCAGGTAACATATGATTGATACCATGACCTGGAGACAAGTAAAACTATGTTGGTCAATCAAAAAATAAAAATATAGTAACACATGTACACCAAAGAAACTAAGAAATTAGACCTGATACTGAAGGACCTGCCATAGCAGGGTTAGGAGCCGAGACTTGGTATCCCATGTTATCTGGCATTGCCCTTTCAGAAGGTCGAAAATATGCTGATATAATGATATCTGTTAGAAACTCATTCAACACAAAAAAAAGGATCACACTATTCATGTGCGATCATCAACATGATAATGAAACTTGCAACAGTAAAGCAGGTCATCACACAATATGAAAAATGTTTCCAGACATAACACACTGTTAATGAACACCCTTGTTCGATACAGACAGTCAATATGTGAAATTCACATATTGGAAATGTAGAACATGAGACAAAGTCAGAAGATGACCATAGAAACACAATGGACACTTCTATATGTTAGAGAAATACCAATCTACTATGAGTTCAGACGTAACGTTCAGTGAGAGATTTGCCACTAAAACAAAATTTTGTATTAAGTAAAGGTTATAAACTTATAGGGCATCTACAGTCACGAAAGGTGTAAAAAGCAGGGAGGTGAATGTCAAATATCAGACAAAGAGGTTGTGGTCTCTAAATTCCCTCTCTTTACAAAAAAAAAAAATTTAGCAAGAATTAAGATCTACAAAAAAATTAGTCTGTAACAAAGGTAGAAAAAAAAAGAAGCAAGGTTAGAGATACCACAACTACAAGTCTCAATACTATACAAATTACAAACTACAGCAATATGAATCTGTCAAAAGATGATTATAGGAATGCAATGACTTATAATGGTATAAATCCGGAGAGAGCTTAGTTAATTTCTGTACACTGAAAATTAACAGAGAAAAAGTGATCTAATAAATACAACAGCTTCAAGTCTTGATAGAACATAATGACAAGCAGAGTTCTGCCAGCAATGCAAAAGACTAGGAACACTTCCATACACAAGGAATGCAACCGGAACCTTTTAGTAACACCACAGTTTTCAAAAACTTATCATTTGAAAATTTCAGCACATATTAATAATGTGTTTTCCCATATATGAATCAGCTCGATTTAGCAAAGATTGATACAGGGAACACTTCAACAACCTCTCAGAAATTATAAATTAATAGTCCCACCACAAAAGGAAAATGATGAAGACATTCAGTACCTTCCCCGGCAAAATTTGTAGTAGGACATGCTGGAATCCTCCCTCCATTCATCCATGAATTATGCTGGCTGTCTGTGTTATATTCAGCAGAGGCAGGCCTCCATTGTTCATCACCAAATCGTCTTAAACCTTCAGAGTGAGAGGCTGATGTGTATGGATGAGAAGGAACCGAGGGAGGAGGATGAGGCCGGGGTTGGGGCATCTGCTGTGTAGGCTTATTATATGCAAAATGGCCTGAAGGGGGTTGGGGTACAGTGACTGGTGGGAAAGCTCTCTGTCCATATGTCGCCTGACAAGGCTGAAATTGCTGGCTTTGCTGATACTGCTGGTTGGACTGCCCAGCTAGTGGTCCTGCATACACAGAATTGTATCCAGGTGTGTCAAGTGAACCAGATAATCCAGCAGGAAAACAAGGTACTTGTTGAGGGGTGTTGCCGGCAATCAGAACAGGGTGGCCACCCTGCACCAAATACAATTCAAATAAGTAAATGTTTAAAAATAATATGCAAGAAGCCAAACCACAAGTCATCACCAACAGAATACAAGAACAGTGAAGAAACTTACAGCTGGCATACTGTATTCAGGAGGTAAAGGAGCATGTGCAGAACGAACTACAGACAGAGGCAGCAACAATACTTGAGTTGTGGAAGGCTGTGGGGGAAGCAGAGGTTGATGTTTACCAATATGTGGGGGACCTAATGGCACCAAAGAAGGCGGAGGAGGCTGAGAGGGTAGCATTTGTGATGGTGGTGGGGGCGGTGGAGGAGAAGGCGATGAAGGTGGTGGTGGAGGAGGAGGTGAAGAAGGTAATGGGGGAAGGGGGGGAGGAGATTCAAGAGGTAATGGTGGGGAACCCTCGAATGATGGGGACTCAACAAATTCATTAGTAGAACACTGAAATTGAGCGTCCAACTGCATCCCTTGCTCAACTTTCTTTGACAACTCACCGGGAGAGCGTGCTCCATCCTTTAGGTGCCCAGAAACATCTTCCATCTCTAGCTCACCATCCACCTCCTCCAAGATGTGATGGCGCCTATCATTTGGAGTATTTTCAGTTTCAAGCCCTGCCGAATTATTTGAAGGTTGCAATGGAGACACATCAAATTCTCTGAGAGAAAAACTTGGAACATCCTCATCTTCGTCGTCATCAACAAATCCATGAGTAGATAAAAATCCAGGCAAATTGAAAGTAGCATTGCTGTGCGCAGCCAAGAAATGTCATCTATCAGAGCGACTCGTACACAACAGAAAAAATGCACAGGATATGGCACCTCAAATATATTAGACATTAACAAAATTGAACACTGAGGTAGACCTTAATAAAGCCTTGCAATTTTGCAAATTCACTGGGAGAAAAAAATTTGAAATACACTAGTTCCAACACCAATCCTAGCGGTATCCAGGGAAGCAGCAACACCACCGCAACACAAGTTATCCTAACTCCACAGCAATCCAGGATAGCATTATTCAAAAAGGCATGTCCGAACAAAAGCAACAGCCAACATCCACCCAATGCCTCCACCTTTATAATGCCTACTTTGTATAAACAGCTTTTTTGATGCTTTTAAAACGATTTCAGCAACCTAAGTATTGAAAACCACAAGGTATTAAGTCCCTGAAACCTAAGGGGCAAGGTGAATGTGCAGATGTGCCTCACTCACAGAAGACGCATTGTCCTATTTCTTTATTTCTGTTTTCTATGATATTCTGCTAAAACGCATAATATTTCAGTAAAAGAGCTCTCAAATACAAGCAAAACCCTTCACAACTTCATCCCCATATATTTAAAACACTACACAAAGGTTTAATAAATAAACACTTCTTCCGTTTTTTAATAGTTGCAACACACACTTTTTCACGGTATTTAAGAAAAGTAGGGTTCACATGGTTTGATATAATTTTAAATGAGGTGAGAGCTTGTTAGAAGTATAATTTAGCGGGCCATGTACTTTAAATAAGGGAAATAATACGACTTTTCCTCAAAATAACTTTCCAAATTATAGTGTATTGCAAGTATTGTGACATTTCCATTTTAAAGAAGTGTTGCAAGTATTAAAAGCAGAGGAAGTATATCTTAAAAAACATTTTTTGGGAAAAATCAAAGAAAGCAAGCAGAAACAGGCTAACAAGCCCATTGTCTGACAAATTTACCTCCCTCCATCTAAGTTATCATAGGTCTCCCTAGGCTTCCTTTATCCCCATTATCCCAATCATCCACCCTCTTTAAAGGTGCTTCCTCTAGCTGAGCTTTCACATCTCTGAACCAACGTAGTTAATTTTTACTTATCCTCAATATCCAGAACTCCAGCTTAACACCAAATATGAAATATATACTATCCCTCATACTCCCACACATCCATTTCAACATATGCATCTTAGTATCACCGTCTTATAACAGTGCTTTATTAAATGCCCAAAAACATTTCCGAGATTCATGACCTATATAATAATCCCTATCAAAATATTGTCGTATAAAAATTTCTCTTTAACCTGAGAGGAACACTAGTTGCTGCTCATCATTTGAGCCACCCAAACTTACACTTCGTTTGGATTGAAGGTAAAATAGCGAAAGGAAGGGAAGGGAAATGGAGGGATCGAGTATCTTTCATTTCGATAACAAATGAGAAAGGAAGGGACTTGGAGGGGAGAGAAATGGAGGGATTAAATTGTAAGAAATTGCCTCTCCAACAATGGAGAGATTTGGAAGGAAAACTCATCATTCTTCCTTCCCCTTCTTTTCGTTCCATTTTTTTTTTCCCAAACGTCAAAAAATGAGACTAAACAGGGTCAGCGCTTTGCTGAAAGAGATCCTTCTTCCTCTCTTATATCAGAAGAAAGGAGGATATGAATAATTAATGGAACAAAAAGGATCCCAGTGAACAGAAAGGACATAACATATCTAACTAATTGGCATTGAAGGACAACATAAACATAAGAAGAAAATAACACGTAAGCAAACATATGAACAAATAAGTGAAAAAGGTGTCAAAAGTATAAATGAGAAGGGTCGAGAGAGAAAACAAACCTCCCATATTCATCGACAAGCATACCCTCCATTTCCCTGATAGGATCATCCACTGATCGTTCAGTTCTTGAAGGACGTCTAAAGGAAAACCCACTACTCATATCATCATTTGAACTACCAATATCATCCATTAAGCGTCGAAGTACTGAGTCCGGTAGAATTTTTCTCTCAAGCCACAAGCGCAAAACCTGAGTTGCAAAGAGATACATAAGGTTGCCTGCAAATGAAATATGGCGGGTAACAATGTAACTAATGTATACCTTCAGGCACTGTCTGCGATTTTCCTTAGCACTAGCCCCAGATGGAGCAGCTGCACCTAAAAGGCGGGGCAATGCTGCTTGGACAATAGGGATATACGAGGCGCCAGCTATGCCTGAGTCAAAAACAAAAATCCAAACCTATATCATCTCAACCCAAAGCACTAAAAAATTTTCTACAATTGACTAGTCGAGCATAGATTATAGGTCTCACATTCAAAAATCGCAAATGCCAATTTACTACTTGCGTGTAATAAACTAAAATACGCACTCATATCCCGACAATCATAAATACCATTTTAAGAAACTACTAACCTTTTTGACTATGTGAGCACTGAGTGATGGAGTCCACCAGAAAAAAGAGATCCACTCTCCTATGTAAGTTTGGCTCGTTTTCCAACTTACGAATGAGCAGTTCCACAACCTTAAACATTCAAAAATTGAGTCAGTCCCTGCAAGAAATTCAGAATCGATAACAGCACATAATAAAAATAATTTGTCAGGAGAATTCATACATGTACGTGTGTGTGTGTTTGTACGTGCGTGTGTGTGTGAAGCTTTCATAAGAATACCTCTTTCAAGTGAGAACAAATATTATAATTCCTCTATTTTTCTTTTACACTATTCACTTGAAATCTTCTTTGACCATCTTTTGTGATTTATCCATTAGGAAAAACATAGTCATGTGGGATCTAGTTAGACTCGTCTCGAAATCTACTTTTCAAATATCAATTTTTTCTAATTTTTACAAAAGTATAATCAAAGATATTAATGGCCAAAGTAATGCATTGGCAAGCGTGAAACCTCATGGTGCAATAAAAAAAAAAGAACGGAGGAAGTATGACGATAGATAATAAATTAGGTGAGATGCGTAATAAGATTCCTGAAACTCAAAGATCCACTCTTTTTCTTTACCCTTAGGTCCTCTATCTCTAATGAATTTGAAACACAAACCCTTCTCTCCCCTCCCCTCTCCCCTTAGCTTTCTCCATCAAATCTTGAAAATTGAACCCCCCTCCCTCTTCAATAACTTCAATCCTTGAACTGTGAATTGTTAAATTTCTTGATTCGATCTAACATCCATCGAAAATAAAAATTATAAAATCCCTTGAACCCCACCTCACCATACCACTCTTCTTCTTCCTCCGATCTCTTTCACTCTACTCCTAAGTCCTCACCTTTGTTTCACTTGCATTTCCCCTCCACCCGTTATTTATCTCTTCCAAAAACAATTAGTCTTTTCTGATGGCTAGAATCTCAAAAAACGAATGCTAACTTGTGTCTCAAGGTTTATCAGCTCCATCACTGGTCAGTGAAGCTTCCGACAAGTTTAGCGTGAGAAGCGGAAAATACTCAATGAAGACAATGTTTTATGGCGAGGAAGAAGGTATGGTGGGATCGTGGGGGTTGCTGACGAGTACACGATAACAGCGGTGGCTGGGGAGTATACTACAGTGGGGCTGGTGGTAGCTGGTTAAATTTATATGTTGCCAAGCAGATTGAGTAGGGTAGGTCAGTGAGTGAAGGTAGATAAGGGTATTTTTTTTTTGTCAAAAAACTTTTCTCTCTCACCTTACCTTAATATGTGTGTCAAAAAGAAACGTGTCAACTAATTTAAAACAGAGGAAGTATAGTTGTTCAATAATTGACTGAGAATGATTGTAATACATAAATTATGCACAACACTTTTCTAGATAGTTCAAAAGTTTACAATCTTTTCATCATTGGAAGGAGCTCAAATCAAAGCTTTATAAACAAGATCAATTATCATAAATTTATTTAATAAGGAGATTTTCAAGACAAATACGATATAAGGTCACACACGTGATACATGTCAGCTTCTTTATTTTATCTACCCGGACTATCCCATCATGCATTCATGCAACTCACAGGTTTAAAGCAAGTTAAAGAAAAGAAACAAGAGAGTACGGAAATTAGATAGCCAGCAAGCTCCTGTTCAATTGACTGCAGGTGGTTCTGCATTTTCATCTTTTTTTATAGTTAATCCCTTAAGTGCAGGTGTGAATAAGAGAGCAGTATGACTAACCTCATTTGCTATTCCATACTTAGCACAATCAATAGCAAGACGAGTAGCACGTCCAATACTTTCTTTCGTCCTCGACAGTGTCTCTATCATTCCTTCAAAAGTATCCCGAGCAACCGCTGCTTCTGTACCACCACTCAAAATACTTCCAGCTGTTAGGTGTGCTGAGCCAGGTCCTTTTTCTTGTTCGTCAGAGCTCAATTGATTATGTGATGCCAGCTGACGAATAGGATCAGGAGGGGAAGCCAAAGTTCCATGATGGACTTCATGAGTGTCAAGCTCAGTTACATCACCCAAACTAGATGAATGATTATGGCCTTTAGACGATGGGCTTGGACTCTTTCCATGAAGATTAGCAGAAGGTGCCGCTGCAGAATTTCCATTACCCTGAGGTACATTGTGTATATGAGCTAGTCGTCTTTTCGCCTGAGCTGCAGCAATTAAATGTTTCATGGATAGTGCAGAGTCTATGGTCTTTGAATCAACCAAAGAACCAGAACTGTCCTTCAAATCTTCCATTCTATAATTACCAAAAGGGAACAATGGATCAGCAGAACAAGAGAACATAACCAATAAAAAAAAATCAGCAAGTCTGAGGGGCACAAACCTGTCATCAACCAGCACATGATCATATTCTTTCTGGTTATCAAAAGAAATCGGTCCATTCAACCTTGTAGACACTTTAGGGATACTTTTAGCCCTCTCCGCAGACAAAGGCTGCCTAATCTTATGCGAAGACACGTGACTCTGACAAGTTGGCAAGCCAGAAACAGATTTTAAATCTTTGCTAGGCATATTTTGAGCCTTATTATGAGAATTCAAACTAGTCCCCTTGATGGATGATCTAGTAGACTTTTGTTGGTCAGCCAACTTCTTAACCGCAGTTGCTACCAAAGGAGACGTTGTGGGGGAAACCAAATCTTTCTTAGCATCCTTAACCAGCAACTTGTCTAATTCTTCTTTTTCAGGGCTTTGAGATATTAGGGCTTTTGTAGAACTGTCTACCTTCAGCTGCAGAGTGGAAGGTACAAAAGAAGCTCCAGCTAACTTAACAGCAGAAAATTCCTTCAGAGAGCCACCTCCATCTTTACTTAAAACCTTCAGGTTTTCTCCAGCACAACCGTAAGACTTGTGATTCTCATCAAATTTCTTGATAGTATCTGGAATTATTGCAGATGAACCAGCTTTGGAGGCAGAAAAAGACCTTCCATGAACTGGAGTTTTAGGATCAGCATCGTCATCATCGTCGTCATTGTACAAGCAAACAGCTCGTCTTTTCTTAGGAATATCACTCTTCAGAGATTTGAGACCAAAACCTTTTTTATCTTCAGATGAATTGTTTACATCAGACGTGGACTCTAATGCTCTGCGATGATGCTTTGCTACAGGTGGTAAAGCTTCCTCATCATAAATTTTGTGTTCCATATCACTTTTTTCACTTTTGATTACTGACCCCTTTGCAACATCACTTATTGTGTGTACATGCTTAGCCTTCTTAATTGACTGTGGCTGGACAATTTGCCGATTTTTACGTCTTGAATACTCCATATCTCCATGATCCTTAGCATCAGAGGTTGTATCCTTTGGTGAATTTGTTCCGAAGTCCACATGCTTCTGGTCTTTAACCAAGCTTTGTGAGGCCTTCCCCTGAGGACTAGACTCCATTTTATTTACACCAGCAGACAACCGCTTTGCACGTCCTCCAGCTGGAAGTTTACCAGGTATCTTATCTTTTCCAAGCACGCCAGATTTAGCAGCTTCAGTGTGACGAACCACACCCTCAATTTTCCTTTTAGCCCCAGCAACCAAATCCCGGGACTTGTGTCCATTTGCTGACTTATTGTCCCCACCAGATGAAAGCTTAAGATGATCTGAAGCTCCTAATGACATTGGAGTATATTTTTTACCATCCCCATGATAACTGGTAGCCCTTTTTAATTCGGAATGACCGCTGTATGGGCTGGAACTTGAGGCCCTTGATGACTCAATTCTTTCATGATGAGCAGCTGTATCTGCTATATTCGCCCCTAAAGCTGTTTCTTCCTTAACTGAGGAAGGGACAAGTGAGCTAGGAGGTGAAGCATCAGTACAAAATGCCCTACCTGTTGCTATAACTTTCTCAGTCATTTCATGACAATCAGATTTCTTAAATTCTTCAGCAGCATCAGCCCGTTCCAACAAATCTTCCACTTTATAACCGCCCCCCATCCCAGAGGTGTGATCAAATGCAGAATCACTGGCATATAATTTGACAGATTTAGGTTTTCTGCTCAACTCAGCACGAGAACCATTGACATTTCCTTCATCATAAGAAGCATCATGATTGAGAGCAGATACATTGTCACCAAGACCACTAAAATTACTTTTTTCAAATGCTTCACATATTTCCTTTACAGCTTGAGCGAAGTATTTTACAGTTTTCCCTTTGCACCTAGCCAGTAATCTACACTTTGACTCACTTGTAAATGCTTGCACATCAGGTGGAGCAACGAAAGCTCTAAAAAGAACAAAAATGAACAAACTATTTAGAAGTATGAAATGTCCAATTTACAGTGCAAAAATAGAGCACCCTATACCCTCAGTAAGAAAAATAAATGCAACAGAGCAAAATTGCGCATATATGTCATCTTTAATGACTATAAACATTCAACAAAAGAAACTATAATAAAATCAACTACAATTTAAAGGGCACAGCTTATATGATAAGCCATGAGAAAAAAAACATGCATGAGAAAAAAAAAAAACAACATTTGAGATATTATTCCATACATTAAAGTGAAAACTATAAAGATGGGAAAAATAAAAATAAAAAATAAAATTGTGATCAACATTTATTTGCAAAGGAGCAGCACCAGAAGTCCACCACCACATGGAAGCGATGGAACATTGAAAAAATGCGACACCTCAATCCCAAATCTAAGGATACCCAAAAAAAGCCACATACCGACCTACGTCATTAAAACTAGAACATCAGCAATATCATCAAAGGTGGTTAGTTCGCTTCAAGATATATAGTCACATGTTCTTAACAATGCTGCAAGGAGCAGAGCATCACACTGTAAGGCAGACTTCAACAAGAAATCCCAATGATTCAATTACAGAAGGTAACTACAGAATAAAGAAAAGCAATATAAAGAGAAACATGTAACAAAAAGTCGTCATCCCACTTCATAAAATCACTTCCATTCGACCAAACCTCATTCCATAATATGTAAAATCAAAACCATATCAGGCCATAAGATATAGGTTGTAATATTATAATTTCAGCTTCCAAGTATGATCTAAAAACAAATTAAACCATTAAATTACACTGTAGAAGGAGAATTTTCTGATACATTAATTCACGCTGCAAAGGTCAAAAGGCTCAACAAAACACCTAAAAAAGTCAACTCCACAACTCTGCAGTCTAACAACATCACCACAATTGCAACTATCATAATTTTTTTATAAGGATACAGAGTTATCTCCAGAGTTAAACGAAATGCATCCAAAAAGGGGGGGGGGGGGGGGGAGACAATTTTAAATGCAAACATTCAAACAAGAAATCACAAGGCATTAATGAAGCCGTAATCTGCTCTTTATTATTTATATATATAGAGAATTCAATCGCACGATTAACAGATCACAGAATACATGTACAAAATCAGGCAAGTGAGGCAACAAACTACTTATTCTCAATAAAACCATTCCATGTTAATAACCACAACTCGATTGAGACTTGTTTCATTATACAAAACAACATACTTGAAAAATAGAAAGTTAAAAGAGCATGAATCCATTATAGAATATCACATTAGGCAACATGTGACATGTCTGCAATTAATAGTCTCACTATAAATAGAATCAAAATGGATATTCAAGTCTCAAAATTTCTGCTGATATGACAAATCTACATTTAATTCCATTTTGTTATTTTTAAATTTTAAAGTTCTATAAATCTAATTTTCCACATGGTAATGGTGAGCACAATTGGTTATTTACCTACTTGAAAAATATTTCGCCTGGTTAAGTAAAGCAATCTGGTATTAATCATCCCTGAACTCTTCTTCAAGAGTGAAAAGACAGTAAAAAAAATAAAAACAAAATGATACATTCCTTACAATAAATGCTTAACAAGCAAAGGAAAAAGTAAAAAAAAAAACATGTGGAAAAATCAAGATCTGGATATTCTTTAACATAATCAATCACAAAAAATTGGACATTTCATCCTGATAAATTAACTTGCACCAAGGGTCACCCAACAGTCACCAGATTCCAAACCTTCCCTCAATTCCTCCAAAATCAAAATAGAGAAGCAGGTCTCAAATTTTTTGTTGATACACCGAATACATCTACATTTTTATTTTATTTTTGTAAATTCTAGTTTTTAAAGTTCCGTAAATCTAATTTTCTCCATGGTATCGGTGAGCACAATTGGACATTCACCTACTTGAAAATATATTTCACCCGGTTAAGTAATTACCCGTGAAAAGTGTCTTAAGTCATCCCTACTTAACTTCCAATTACTAAAGTGGCACAGGGACAAAGAAAAATGAGTACAATGAAAAAATTGATAGATGATAGCATAAATTTTTCAAATTGAAAGAAAGAGAAGGCTGTGAAGTACTGATGTGACGGAGGGAGAGAGTAACTTTGATTTTTAAGAAAGTGGAGTGTTATAGGAACATTCCAAAAAAAAAAAAAGTCCAAAATCGAATAAGGGACGGAAACTCAGAAAGAATTACATTTCACCCTCATTTAATAAATGTGTAAAAAACTGTCAAAAATCCACATCATTAAACTAAGCATTGGACCTTCCTGAATCCTACCAATCACAAGCAATTGCTCCAGGCAACTAAATACTAAGTTCCACCGCAAAAAGCCACCAACCTACATTCTACATGCATATATGCACACATCGTAACCTCATCCTCATATATAACAGAAGTTACAAAAGACATCTATATAACCATATGTAGTAGACACTGCCATTTAATTTGCCCATGAATCTTTATCAAAAGTGGATCATAAAAACACCCATAAAAGTCCACAAATTTATTGACCAACCACCATACAACCTACACAAAGTTTTACCCATTCTTTCTGCTTCGGTGCTAAAGAAGTGTATAACCATTTTCATTTTATATGCTTATCTCAAAAGTGTCTTCAACTATATACTAATAAAGTGGGCAGCAATCTTTAAGAGGATTGGGGTTCCAAACCTTGCTCTAATTCATTTACTTAACTTACGAAGCCAAGTAGTTTCTTATATCCTAAAAGATAAGAGAAGAACTAACTCCACCCAGCCTTGGAAAGCTAGAACGGATCCAAGAAGAAGAGGCGTCGGATTACTCTCAGAGTTTCTTCTTCTAAAAGAGATCGTAAGAAGACTGAAATCTCTACCCTTTTAAACTTTGATTCGAACATATTTTCCCAAAACTTCACATTTAATAATTCTCTAATATAATGTACAATTCTCCAAATCGCACATACCCCATACCACTTGTCCATATCTATATACTTCCCCCGTTTTGCTATTGCTGCACCATGGGGGATTTACGAATCCTAATGCACATCTTCAACCTTAATATCTTTAGTTACATAGGAGTAAAAATTATAAAAAGTTAGTATTATAAAGGTATATATTGAGATGAATTTAACAAGATCCCACATGATTATATCTTTCTTTATGTATAAATCACCATATGTGGTTAAAAGGGATCGTGTCAATAGTGTTAAACTGTTAAATTTGCAAATGGTGCAATATTTCTAGAACGGAGAAAGTATATACATATTCAGCAATACCTCATTTCCATTTTCTCCCCAATGATCTTATTTGAAAATTCATGTCCCAATTCTTGTACATTTGTGTAATCTAAGTCAATTAGATCACAGGCTTCAAAGCCCTTATCTTGCTGGTAATCTTTAATAAGATTTTGAAGCAAAGAGGACTTCTCTACAGTAGTAAATCCAACAAAACACCCAAAAAAATCATCTCATATCCCCCTCCCTAAGGAAAAAATATTATGTTGTCAATATCGGATTATCCCATATGATAACTTTATGCAAAATGTCAAAAATATAGCCTAGCCAACCAATCAATACAAACATTTTCAGAAATAATCTAATCATACATCTCTAATCTCTCCGCATGTGCTTCAAAGCTATCCAAAAAATTTAAAATACAGAACAAAAAGAATAATTGTAATGTGGATATGATCATCACCTTGAAATAAAGTAGTTTAATTAAAACATCAAAGTGATTTTCATAAACATATACCTAAACTAGTCTCTAAAAATGTATATCCTGTAGAAACAAATAGAAGGGGAAAAGCATTAACAGAATCTGTGGCAATTAACCTACTAGTCACACATAACCATAGCTACCTGGTGATACAACTTACATTTCTTGGGTTCCAAAGAACTGCACGAAATACTTCTTTGGGTCAGGGGCTCGCTCCCAGTCTTCAGGCCTACTAACCTGAAAGTTCAGCCAGTAAAGAATAATTGAAATGCACATAACTCTAAGAGATGTAAGTATTTAGGTAGCCAACAACTCTCATACTGTATGAAAAAATAAATCACCAAGATAAGCACATAACAAATAATAGAACATCACAGAAGAACTAGAAGTAAATATTCACAAACTCGGGTCAAATTTAATAAGTTCAAAATTCAGGTCAAATCAGGTCACAAAAGAATCTTGATACATTTGGCAATGTACATAACGAGGAACAAATCAGCAAAACCATATTTGACCCACAGATAGCAAATCCTAAGCAAAAAGTGAGCAATTAAGACAATGTAAGAATAATTTCGCATACGGGTGGTAGTACTTGATATAATCGAGCTTGCATGAAAAATCTAGAAAAACATTCTACTCACCTTCACAACCACGATAGACATTCCGCAAACTCCTCAATGTAAATTAAGTTTTAAAAAAGCTCGCAACCTAAATTCTTCCGAATCACACATGTCCATACAAGACACAACCACTGATCCCGCTGTAATTAATACACTATCCAAAAATTCAAAACAACACAAAATCACCAACACGGGAGGTGTAATTTAATAAAATTACGCGGCTTTTGACTAATATAGCAGTAATCTTCCCGCCCTTTCATCGCCCCTAGTGTTCCAACTTCGAATCAATAATGAGTAGCAATATATATATATATAACTCCCATGAAAATGTAGCTCGAGAAGATCACCCCACAAAGCAACAAACAAATTAATTATACTACAGTTCTAAGCGCACATTGATATTAATTTGAGTGAATTAAATTCTCGATCACATAAAAATCAAAAACAAATAAATAGTACAATATAGTAAAAAAAAAAAAAAAAAAAAACAAATTTCACAACAAAATCAAACGAACCTTTGCAGGCCAAGCAGGGAATCCCTTGACCTTAGCAAGAACAAGATCGCCGAGTCGCAACTCGTCAGCAGTCTTCGTTTTATTGGCTCCTTTTTTACGCGCAGGAGCCATGGCGATTACATCAAATTACTCAAAATCCTAATTTCAAATGCCAACCAACCGAAAATTTTCCAATGATTTCAATTACCAATCAAAAACCCTAGGAAAAAAAATTCTACAAAATTGTAATAAAATAGCTCAAAAATTAGGGATTGGAGAAACGAATTATGCCCCGAATTGCAAAGCTAATGAGAGAAATTAGGGCATCGGAGGAGAGAAAATAGCAGGTAATTGCATTTGGATTTTGGGAGCACCAGAGCAATACAACAGAAATTGAGGCGGTGAGAGGAAAGAGAGAGAGTACAGAGAGGTTTTTTTTTTTTTTTTTGGGTGTGTTCGTTTAATTAATGGAGAACTTGGGGAAATTATGGTAATTGTTTTATTCTACTCTTGAAATTATTGTGTTTTAAGGAGAGAAAGGAGGGTACAAGAGGGTTGCGGCTATGGATGATGGTGTAGACATAATTTAATCTCGTATAAGTATATAGGTATTGCTTTTGAATTCTTGATAAGTGATAATTTAATCAACTAACATTGTTGTCAAAATAATCTTGATGAATGAATGTAGGTAAGATTGATTTTATTGATTGTTATGCATTTATGCGGGATTTTGTTAAAAATTGAAACAGGGAGGAGGGTATTGATGTCAATCACGATATTCTATACAGGATTATTTCATTTAGAGCAATTTTGTTTCTTAAATTGACAAAAGAGGCTCGCACTTTTTACATAAAAAGAGGATGCAGTTTGTTAGACAAAAACAGAGGATGCAGTTTGAAAGATAAAAAACAGGGATGTTGTAAAACAGGGGAAACGGTTTCTAATATAGTGTTTGACATTACCATCAAAAGGGTTATTTAGTTGAGAATGACTAAATGTGTTTAGACGAGTTGCTGAGGTATGTGGGAATTCATCAAAAATGTGTAAAATTGTAAATGTAAGGTTTTAGTGTTAAAACAATGTATAAAAAAATGACAAAAACAGAAGTTTTGTAAAATAACAAAAAGAAAATGTCATTTTATTTTGAAAGAACAAATATATAAAGAAACTACTAATATTTATTTAAATAAACACCAACTGATTCTTTGTTTAGAGTCATCTGAAGTTAGTTATTTTGTTAAGATTTGACATTTTTGCATCCTCGTAGTTAGAAAAGTATTATGGTTTCATTATACAGCCTTTTGTGATGAAGATTATTGATTTATGAACATCGGGGAAAAAAAATAACAATAATTGTGTTAGCAACAAAAGGAGGGTGAAAATAGTAAAATTTTAAGAATTGTTTGGTTAATATGGGTATTTAATTTCCATAGGAATTTGTATTTCATGGGAAGTTAATTCCTTAATGAAATTTCTAGGATGTTTTTTAAATGAGTTTGGTTAGCAATAAGGGTAATTGATATTCCCATGAATAAATTGGTTTACCGGGGGGAGGGGGGGCTTGGGAATTTATTACTTCCCATGTTTTGTGGGAAGTGGAAATTCCCATGAATTCTAACTTTCACAATTTTTGCTTTTTTGTGTCAACCAAATAACTACCTATATATGTTATCAATTTCCATGAATTTTCAAATCCTCCATTTTATGATTTCAACCAAACAAGATCTTAGTGATCTTTTCAATATCACGAGTAAAGGAGAGTTTTGGGTGGGGGGTGCTTTTAACAATTGAGGTGATAGAAAGATCAAGTAGACTACTGGTGCCCAAACCCAATGAATATTAGGCCATTTGTTAGTGTAGTTTTTCCAAAGGGCTTATAAGTGAATATATAGAAGAGCAAACATTAAAAGATACAATAAACTATAAAAATGTTAGCATGGCTCAATCATTGGTGGGGGAGGAGGTGGTTGGATATGGGGAGGACATGGTGGCTAATGCAACAATATGCATTGTGGTGGTTTTGTTGTTCAACTATAGGTGAATATGTAATTAGAGTGTCTATATTGATATATATATATTATTTACCTTTAATATTTAGGTTTATTATATTGTTTGTAAGTGTCGTATGGCTATCTTTCATTAATAAATTTTTTTTTCTTCTTGTAAAATATATATATATATATATATATATTATGTTAAATTATGCATATGGAATCTCTATACTCGTTTAGATACTCACTTTTTTGTGGGATGTATATAGGAAAGAGTATTAATGCATATTTGATGAGTTATTCCTAATCAATATGACCACTTTTCTTCTTATGGAATTCTTAATAAATACAGCTACTGTTTCGAGGTTTTTTGATGTCTTGCGGGAGGGTTACAATTCCAAGACTAGTCTCTGGACGCCTGTACCTGCAAAATAACGGAGACTTCGGGTGGGTGGAGTTCCACCTCCAACGATCAAGTTAGAACGTGTATAGAGTCTGTAAAAAGTGCGGAAAATAAAGTATTTTCTCGGATTCCGAGAGAATATGTGCAATTAATGATTGCTCTGTTTTTTGTGTATATTTTTGAATGTGTCCCATGATGGGAACATCTCTCTATTTATAGGGTCTCGAAATGCATGCCGCCATCCAAGGTTACGGAAACCTAGTAATGGTGGGCTTCCTTGGGAATTGGGCCAGAAAGGCCGCCATTCTTCCCAATCAATGGGGATGCAACGTGTTAGCAGGGGATTAGTTCTCTGGGAACCTCTCCTGAAGTGACACGTGCCACCTCCCTATTGGACCACGTGTCCAGGGTAAAAATACCAAAAACATTTGCCCCTCACGGGTGTCAGGTGGCATGCCACGTGGCACAAGTGACACCTGTTAGGCGGCCATTGGAAGACGATTTTTAACCGTTGGTCTTCCAGGGAAATTACGGGGATGCCTGAATTACCCTTCTATAAATAGATTTTTTACCCCTCCCTTTTTTGGATATTTCCAAAATTTAGAGAGAGAGACATCCGTTTTTTAGAGAGATAAGCTCTGCCAATCGCCTGTATACCTTGCAAGCAGTTGCTTTCATTTCACTACTCACAGACGGTTCACCGTCTGGGTAGTTTGCAAATTGTCATTCTTTTTCAAAGGGGTACATCCGGTTATCTTTTCTTTAGAACCGCCTGTGTACCCTTCAAGCAAGCTTCGACATTTTAAGTGGGTACTACCGGTCCCCCGCCAAAGCATCTTGCAAGCCATTGTTCAGTTTTCGCCTGTTTATTCAGCTGGTCACCGCTTGACTACCTCGCAGCTCATCTCATAGGTACCACTTCACCTCCTCTCAACTCTTTTATATATTTCCTTTTGTGTACATTTTGTTCCATTAATGGATTCACCAATAGCACACACGACACAACGTAGTTTAGAGGGCAGCCGGCCCCCTGGTACGGTTGAGTCTATAACTGGGGGAACCGCCTCTGGGTGCTTGGATCACTCTTGCTCATCTCCCAATCTGACCGTCTCCGTGTCTGTGCAGGACACTATGGATAGGACTAGGAAGACGGTTGTAGATCCGAAGTATAGGGAGGAGAGCACCGAAGAAGGGCCACCTGAGGGAGATCGGGCTGAGACGACAAGAGGATCCTCCATGGGCACACCTAGTGATGGGATTCTAGAGTCCAAAAATGGAGACGGAGAAGAGGTCGCCTCTATGTCTGGTCAGGAGGAGGCGGGTGGGAGTGTCTCTAAGAGAGACGGGAGTGAATCCGCCTTTGGTTCTAGCTCAAGCAGCTCTCTAACTCCAAATGTGGATAGTGAGGAAGAGTAGAGTCCAACATGGAAAAATAAAGGGGATCCACTTCAAATCTATATTTTTGCCAAAGACAGGGCAAATATGGAGAGGCACCTAGAGACGGTTAAACTCAAGCGTCCTCTAGGTGCGGGATACACTATCCGGGTGCCACCTGAGTTTGGGACCATAGCCTGGAATGATGACCAGCCAGGCGCCAACAAATATTTTGGCTGCTATGAGGCAGCATTTTTGGCTGGTTCCGCTTCCCCCTTCACAATGCAATAAAGGCTATCCTTAGAGGATATGGCCTAGGCGTGTGGCAATTAACCCCAAACTCCTAGGTTAACATCTTGGGCTACATCGCCGCCTGTGAGATGCAGGGTCTTCATCCCGACAGGGAGGCCTTTGCCAAGATGCACTATCTAAGCCGAAGTCTAGGCGGGTGGAGGGCATGGTACACCTTAACCACGTACCCTAAATACCTGATGTCCCTAGACAAACCGTCTAAGTGGTTAGACTGGAAAACCCGCTTCTATCTGGTTTCTGCCCCCACTAAGCGAGAAAACTTTGAACTTTGCACATACAACCGGAAACCAGACCTTTTGGGATAAAAATGCAAGTTGCCACAAATCCCGGATGAGGATACGAAAAAATAATAGAGGCGGGGTTTTTTGAGTTTACAACCACCACCCTCTCAACCGGGGAATTAATTAGTGTACCCAAAAACTGGGTACCTAAACATGAATATTTAAGGGACGAGGTGTTTTTGTCTGCTTGTGGGTTGAGCACCCAATTTAACAGACGTATATAGATAGTTTTTTCCGGCTATGCTTTGTCGTCTCTATCTTTTGTAACTTGTATTTTTCTTGCTCGATGATCTAACAGACGATTTTCTTCTGCAAAAACTGCACTAAACATGCTTCCAGTGGACAAAACGCCTGCTAAGTCCGCCGCAGACATCCGCAGAGAGAATGCGGTGAAGAAAAGAGTCGCGTAGGCGGCTAAAGTCAAGGTATTAATAGCCTGACTTAGCTTCCAATTTATTGCTTTATTTCTTGGTGTATAGACAGCCTCCCGGGGGTCTGTTGGAGGAAAGAGTCTACAAATACACGTAGACTTTGCCTCCTAGCCGGATGTTCCTGCGGCGCCATCTGGTTTCCCGCCCCTTAGGCTGCAGGCGATTTGAGCCTTCAGCCGCCTCACCAAGGTATTGCTGAATTCTTCAACTCCCTTGAGCTTGGCTGGCCCATGCGGGTCAAGTCACATTCTCGTTTTTAGTCAGAAGGTTCCTCTGGCAGCCGGCATTCTATTGGAGGCGTTTATGCTGCTTTTTCACCGTCTCTTTCTGGTGCAGATATATCTCCCCGATGGCCGGATGTACAACAATTTTCCAAGGCCATGCTGAAGGCCGTCTCCAAGGAAGACAAAGAGGCCATCCCGGGTATACATGCGTTCAATGTTGACCGCATCCTAGCCAGTTGGCTAAGGTATGAATGTTTCACTTTTAGTTTCACTAACTTCGTAATATTTACCGGTTGCATCTTAACACTTTTGATGTATAGACGATGCAGCGAGTGGAGGGGCTGAAGAAGTCGTATGCCCAGAAACAGGAAGAGGTAAGGAGGGCAAAAAGAACCGCTATCGACACGTCTGATGTTGCTTAGTATCAAATGATTATTCACGACCTCGAGACTAAGTCTGAGCTTTTGCAACATGCGAAATCCCTCAAGCGGCTTCAAAAATCCCTCGATGAGGCCAACACAAAAATCCATAATCTGGAGGCGGCAATTGACAATGCTAAGCTCGAGTTGAAAAAGAAAGACGATGCTCTCAAGTCCTTGGATGAAACCAAGAAGGAGAACATCTCTTTAAAAGCTGACAATGATCGCCTGCTGAAGAAAAGGGCCACTAGTGAGAAAAACTTCAGGGCCACTTTGGAGGCTGATCAGAGCCGGCTGATCGAGGAAAATGAGCACGACTGTGAAAACCGCATGAGGATGACATGGTCCATCCTGAGTCTAGAGGCGGAGTACAAC